CGCTGCTTCCCAGTTCATTTGGACTCACTTGTATCTCATGAGAAAGCAACTTTTATAAACACTAGGAAAAAAAATACATGCTTTGAACATGAGAAATATTTAAAAGCAGAGGAACCATAATAATCAATTGACTTGATTATATATGTTATGGATGCTGAAAATTATCTATCTTTCAGGACCTTTAATAATTTCTTTCTCTTAGTGTCCCTAGGGCAATTCTGACTGCTGAGAAGCAATGCAGTGCTAGTGTTACATGTAAGAACCTGAGGCACACAGAAGGTATGCCTCAGTTGTCTCGTGCCTGTAGCTCATTCCAAACAACCTCAAACTGTCAGCAGAGGCACTTCTTTAAAGCCTGCCATTTTCCTAAAGCTGTGGTGTTGGACATGATTCTTGACCACTCCAGAGGACCACCTTTCTGTGCTCCCTGTTCTGCAACACCAAGATCATGGAGAGTTTCTCCTACCATGGTTAAAATGATCTGTGTTAGAAAAAAAATAAATAACCATTACAAATATGTATGACGACATTTAGCTATAAACAGGCAACAACAGGCTGTTACACAAAGAAATCTGAGGAGGGCATAATCCCCAAAGGGTAACAAGCAGTTTGAGGTGGTATTTTGGCTGCAAACAGTATGCCTGATTTTAGCCCTAGTAAACTACGAAGTACAACCTAACAGTATGTTCGCAAGGCCCCTGGATGGCCAGGAGGCAGCTGGATAGGAGGGCTCACTGTGTTAATAAGCACTCTAAATGCCTATTATCAAAATTTTAGGAGATAAATAACTTTCTTACAGAGAGTGGTGTGGCAAAGGATATGGCTGCAATTAGAGTTCTTGATCAAAGATTCTTCTTCTCTTTGTAATCTCATTCCCATTTGATTGCTTTAATTTTCTTTGTAACATATCTCAATAACTACTTGGACTTTGCAACACTGATCCTTCAGTAGATAGAACCATATGAATAGGTCTGATGAAATCAGTGAAATTATTTACAGTCTTATTCAGCAAATACTGAATGGCATATCCAATTACCTCTGTGCAAATCTAAGGTAGTGAAGTATTTTTGTAAATTGGCAGTTATGGCCATGAAACTAAGTACGTGCATATTTCTTTAGAAGACAGGGATTTTAAGCAAATTTACAGACACTCAGATACAGAAATACTGAGATATGAATGACACCATCATAGCAAAATCTGTGTTACCTGAAGATACTTTTGATGCATTGTAACTCTAAAGATGACTGGTTAGAGCTGTTGATGCAAGGGTCTGAAATGTCATCTACATAGTACATGTAAATTGCAGTGGACATGTGCGATCTTGTTTAAACGGTACTGCAGATAATATCAGTTTATATATACAGTACAGATGATACATCGTATTGCCTGACTTCCATGTATACCTCTGGAGTCTAAGAGAACCCCCAGGTATGGTGGAAGGTTGGCCACCTTGAGACTGTTGTCTGTGACCAAACATAACCATCTAAGTTATCTTCCCTCAACTGTCTCTCACTGTTCTTCTTTACTTCCAATCCCACATTAATCCATTCCTAGGCTTTGCAGTCCTGCCTTGCACTGCTCTGTCTTTGGACCTGCAACTACCTCCTTATCCACTTAAGCTGTCTATCTACCTTGCATCTTGGTTTTGGGGTTATGCAGGCTATGCATACTGAAGTAAACATTGACTTCACTGCTTACTTTTCGACTCCCCATGATGTCTCTTCATCCACTAGGCATGATGCCAAGTGAAAATCTTTGTATCAGCTCTTACAAATACACTATCTTTCTATCTGTCAGTTGATTCTGGCTCAGCATATCTTGTGATTTAACCCTGGTAGGCAGCTGAGCTCTACACAGCCACTCCTTCATTTCCTCTGCATCAGGATGGCGGAAAGACAATCAGAAGGGTGAAAGTGAGAAAATTTGTGGGTAGACAGGGGCAGCTTAATAGGTAAACCAAAAGCTGCTAGCGCAACCAAACCAAAACAAGGAATTCACTCATGGCTTCCCACTGGCAGGCAGATGTCCAGACTTTTTTCTGGAAAGCCAGGTTCATCACACATAATGGTTTCTTGGGAAGACAAATGCCATCACTCCAACTGCCTCTCCTTCCCCCTTCTTGCCCTACAGTTTTGTTGCTGAGCATGATACTGCATGGTACGGGACATCCCTTTGTCCAGTTGGGGTCAGCTATCCTGACTGTGCCCCAGCTGTATTCTTGTAGTGTGTCCTGGGACTACAAGAGTTGCAGATGTCCCTGTAATACAAATAACAGTGATCCGTATTTGTATCTAAAATACCTGGAATACTCTGGAATTCCCAGTACAGATATCTCTGACAAAAAAAGATATCTGACAATTGAATGTTTTACACTTGAAAAGCCATATAACTGTGAATGAGAAACAAATGGAGGTCTCCGATAACAAGGAGAAAAAGTGGAGTGCCTGTGCCTGTGAAGTGTTTGGTATGGGTCTTAACAGAGGCATGATAAAGCACTTCAGAGAAGTGAAAATCCCTATTTTGTTCCAGATAGTTTTCTGATCTGTTCTGCTGTGAAACAAGAAGAGTGAACTGATTTTACTTGGCAGAAAAAAAAAAAAAAAAGGGGGTGGGGGGGGCTTAAAGATCATCCAATTCCACCCCCCTGCCATGGGCAGGGACACCTCCCACCAGACCAGGCTGCCCAAAGCCCCATCCAGCCTGGCCTTGAGCACCTCCAGGGATGGGGCACCCACAGCTGCTCTGGGCAGCCTGTGCCACTGCCTCACTGAGCCTCACAGTGAAGAATTTCCTCCTCATATCTAATCTAAATCTACCCTTTTGTATTAGGAAGGTTGTGTCCTGTGGGAGCAAGGGTCAGAATCTCTCTAGCAGTAGACACGGGTATTTTATGATAGGAACGGTATTATTTTTTGTTATGATGGTATTTTATGAAGGGAATAACAGATAAGAGGGAGAGATGGTTTTTTGTATTTTTCTACCAAGCTTTTGCAAGAAGCCGTCTGTCCCCATCCTGGGCAGATAACGATACTTTTCACTGTACTGCCCTGTGTTAGAGGAATTTGCTGTCCTGGCACACTGACCATCAGAAGAGGAGGTGTGTGTGTGGGGAGCAGCTGGCACAGCATTTACACGGCCGGCTGTGCTGTGGGGCGCACTGAGGGGGCAGCGAGGAGCCTCGGCGTGCTGCGGTGACAGATCCGCTGGCTCCTTGTCATTCCCCACCTTAATTAACACCAACGGGGCTCTGGGTTTCTGACAGAAAAGCTGAACACGGGTTCCCTGTAACAAACTTTCTCCACAGTTTTATTTTCTCGGTTTTGTTTTACGAACTAATTCCCCTCCCCCCCCAACCCCCCCCCGTACCCTCCCCCCTGCCTCCAGCCCGCCCCACAACGCGGAGCGGCCGTGACGCGCGCGGAGCTCTCGCGAGATGTCGGCGGCCGCTGCCTATAAATTGCGGGACGCGGGGCGGCCGCCTCAGTGCGCGGCGGCGGCGGCGCTGGAGCGGTCGGGTGGCAGCAGCCTCTCCTCCTCCTCCTCCTCCTCCTCCTCCTCCTCCTCCTCCTTATCCTCCTCCTCGCCTCCAGCCCCGGTGAGTACCGCGCCACACGCCCGCCTCCTGCGCGGGGTCCCCGAGAGGCGCCCTCCCAGCGCTGGCTGCCCCTCGGGGCTCGCCTGCGGCCGGGCCCTTTGGGACGCGCTGTCCGCCGCGGGTAATCCCTGCGGACGCGGCCCCTCCTCCTGCCGGCCGGCGGCAGGGCGCGGGGTGGCGGCGGTGGCGCGGGGTGGGTGTGAGCGGGGCCCCTCCGCTGCCCTCCCGGCCCCCGCTGTGTTAGTGGTCGCTGCCCCCTGGTGCGACGAGGGGAGGTTTTCACCGGACGCGAAGCAGAAAGTTAAGGCTTCCTGTTTTGATGCTGTCACGTGTGTAAAGCTGCTGTCGGGCTTTCTGGCGCATCTGGCAGCAAAGCCTTCAGGACCGCTGTCCTGTCAGGGACTGCTGTCTGCGAGGCTCTCTGCTCTCCTGTGGGCAGGCTCTGCTGCAGCTCAATTGCCCTGTGGAGCTGTCGAAGCAAAAAGCGCTGGCAGATCTTGTTTGGCTTCTGTGTGCTCACAGAATGACAACGCGCTTCTGGGTATTCATGTCTGTGCGTTCTCCTGAGGTGGTACTGCAGCATCTCCTTCCCCTCTCCCTTTTATAGGGTTTATATGGGGAGAACTAGTACTGATTTCTCTATGGCCGTGCACATTGGAAGATAATTGCATAGCACAGGCTTACTGAACAACTGCTCTCCCCAGCCTGTTTCAATGTGGGCTTGGTAGTAATTCCTAAATTAGCACAAAGGAAAGTTATTTCCTGTTGTGGGGAATTTCTGACTGTGCATGCTACAGGAATTCTAACTCTTGAGTAACTGAGCAGTGGAAACCCTGTGTGGGCATCAGATATGTCAGCAGAGATAATGAGCCTATTGTTTTTAGTGGAGTACCTTGGGTGAGATTATTGAAATGAGTATTTCACCTTGGTATTTAAGTGCCCACAACATTTGGACAACAACAACTAACCACATTTCAAACTTCACTCCCTTATGTTAATTTGATTAAAGATACTGGTGGTGGAGTCTTTGTCTGTCCTTTAGACATCCTAAATGAGAGGTTAGAGTTGGTTTTAAAAAAAAACACAAACAAACAAAAAAAAACAACAATTCTTAGCTTAAGAACAGCTGGGTAGGTTTCCTTCACCCCGGCTCAACAGTTGAGACCATGTATATATATTTCTCCTAGAAAAAATACATGACTTAAGTTGTAATTCTGTAGTGAGCTGCTGTACTTCAAATGGATCTCCTACATGCAAGAACAAGCATCCTTGATCTGGTGGGATTGATCATAAAGCAATTGTTGATTTGAAAGCCTGGTGTTTAAATGAAGTAGATATGAGGATGTCCTAACTCTGACATGCTTCCTTCATAGGCTGTGTAGGACTGAAGATCTGAAAAAATGGCATTAGCAGCAATTGATCCACAACAGGTATGTTTAAGATAGCCCAGTAGGGCTTTTAATGTATAGTTCAGAAAAATAGTCAATTAACCTCTTTCTCTTTAAACAGAACATTGTATCAAGGGTTGCAAACCTTCCTTTGGTGAGCTCCACCTATGATATGGTGTCGACAGCCTACGTTACCACAAAGGATAACCATCCCTATCTGAAGTCAGTATGTGAGATAGCAGAGAAAGGAGTGAAGACGATTACTTCAGTAGCCATGACAAGTGCTATGCCTATCATCCAGAAACTGGAACCACAAAGTAAGGCAAAGATGGAGTTGCTGATACCTTTAATTGAACTGATTGCTTTATATATCAACATGTGCTTACAGTTGAGCACAGTCATGCTGGTCTGGAGTGCTATTTCAGATAGCTGACAACCATCTCAACAAGCCTTGCTTGTTGAGTAACTTATTACAGATAGGCATGACTTGAGGGAGTGGTGGAATCCAAAGCTGATTCCAGCTTTCATAATACTGAACTGACTGGCTCCTCTTGATTTGCAAGGTGATTGTGTAGTTGCTTGTGCAACACCTTTCTTACCTTTCACCTACTTTCAAGTGCTTTGTACTTTCTCTCACAGAGTAACTTGTGGTTATATTTGGCAACTGTGTCACAAGGCTATTGTAACCAGGAGCCTTAGTTTCTTCAACTCATGGTAGGGCAGGCATTTCAACTTGTTACAACAGCTGCTTGTAAGGTATAGGAACAGACTTTCTCTGCCTGCAAGTGAGCTTGCTTAAGGCACTGTAGACCAACCTTCTTGTGGGGCTTTGCTGCCTCAAATCCCCCTGAAAAGGAGGGAGAAGCTACTTTAAATGTGCTGCTGTGTGAGCTCCATTTTAAAAACAAGTAACAATTGGAGTTATTTATACTAAGGCAAAACAAAACCTAAAATCAACTATTGTAATTTCTTCCATAGTTGTAGTTGCCAACAACTATGCATGTATGGGTCTGGACAAAATTGAAGAGAGACTACCTATACTGAATCAACCCACTGACAAGGTAAATCTTTTCTGTGTGCATATGCTGACCAGAAGATCTTTATACCTGTCTGCTGTTGATACAAAAAATGCAGTGAGGGGAGTTCCTATAAGCTGCACTTGCTTCACAGCTTAGATGCAGTGAGGAGATGGAGTGCATTTCTGTAGAATCGTTTGCTTTTGGAAGGTCACTGAACCATTCTTTTTTTTTTTTTACATTAGCCTGCTACTTGATATATCTGTAGCTGCTGTTCACTGGTAGGCATCCTGTAAAAACTTTCTTGCTCATTGTAAAACAAACTGATTTACATTCACTGAAGAGTTTTGAGCTGAAGGCTGCATGACAATCATATCTTTGTTTTGTCCATATGCTTTCAGTGCAAGCTCTTCCTGGATAAGACTTGTATGAACCTTAATGTAATTCTGTTTCCTGGATTATATAGCTCTTTTTATCAAATGTTTTTAGTGAATCAACCTATTTTCGTTGTTAGGTTGTTGCCAATGCTAAGGATGTAGTTGTTGGAGCCAGAGAAGCTGTAACAACCACTGTGACTGGTGCCAAGGAAACTGTTGCTCACACAATCACCGGAGTTGTGGGCAAGACTAAAGGAGCTATGCAAGACAGTGTGGAAATGACCAAGTCCGTTGTTAATGGTGGCATTAACACTGTCTTGGGAAGTCGTGTGGTGCAGATGGTGAGCAGTGGAATGGACAGTGCTCTCACTAAATCAGAGACCTTTGTAGACCAGTATCTCCCACTCACTGAAGCAGAACTAGGTAAGAACAATTCAGGTTTAATTTTAATGGTGTATATATATATTGGAGAAACAAGCAGTCATCCATTTATTACCTTATAGTGGGGAGGGGGCATGTGCTTCCCAAACTGTCTTTGGCCTTCCTGGTTGTAATAACGTTTTCTTGACAGGCAAGCAGAATGAACCTAAGTAAGGATTACATGTGTGCCTGTCAACCAAACGTGCTGTTAAAGGACTACTAAGGAAGTCCAATATTCAGTTATTATGAAGCAAATGAAATAGTCAGACATCTTACGTTTTGTTCCACTGGTCAATCTGCTCCCTTTCCACTGTTCTAGAAAAAGAGGCTGCAAAAGTTGAAGGTTTTGAAGTTGGAGTTCAAAAGCCAAGCTACTATGTTCGGCTAGGATCCCTGTCTTCAAAGGTCCGTGCACGTGCCTACCAGCAAGCCTTAAACAAAGTTAGAGATGCTAAGCAGAAAAGCCAGGAAACAATTTCTCAGCTCCACCACACCGTTAATCTGGTAAGTTCAAGTTCTCACTTTGGGTATAAGAAACAAACGTTGGTATAGTTTTCAAAGGTAGAGAACAGGTAGTGAAAAATCAGATAGCTGTGAATAAATTCACTTTCAAAATATAAAGTACTTCCCAACGGAGCTTTTCTCCACCAGTCAGGAGAAGTCCTAAATTAAACTGATCTGTAAAACAGACCACCAGTTACTTGTAATTTTCAGCACTGCATAAATATAGGTAATGTTTAAAAGGTGTTCGTGTTGTAAAGGTTCAGTTCTGACACATCTATTCACTGAAGAAAGTGTCTTGCAATTTGGAAACACTTGAGTGCTTTACTTCAGTCTTTATATTAACAAAAAGTAGGATTCTTCATGGTCTTGCTCTTCTTGCTGTGGGTATCTCTGAACATTCCTGAGTGCTTCAGTAATCTGATCCTAACTATGTATCTTTATGTACAGCACAAACTACATAAATAGTTATGATCTTTAATATACTCACAACGCCATGTATATGAGTTCAGTGGGGGAGGATGAAGTAGTTGTGGTGTAGAGGGGTAGGCTACATAGTATCATGGAACTGCTGCTAGCTTTTCTTGTGGAGAAAGAGCATATCCTTATGTTCTCCAAAGTGTTTTGTTTGAAATTTAAGCGTTTAAAAATTACAAAGCTGGTATTTTAGGATAGCCCTAGTAGAACTGCTTGGACTCTTACTTTACTTCCTTGTTTGGCTGTATTTCAGATCGAGTATGCCAGAAAGAACATGAATAGTGCCAATCAGAAACTTCTTAATGCTCAGGAAAAACTGTATCAATCCTGGGTAGAATGGAAGAAATATACAGGTCAAAATGATGGTGATGAATCGCATAGTGCTGAGGTAAATAAATGTACATGTAAACTGAAAATAAATGGATTGTATACTGTCAAGATAACACTGGCTAACAGTCCCCAAAGTGCACAGCATCTTAACAGCACAGAATGCTTCTATACAAAAGTAGAATCTAAATGATGCAGCTCAAGCAGCTGCTAGTTCCTCTTATGAAAAGCAGAGGACATCCTAACTCTTAAATGAGCCTACTTTCTGCAAAAACTAATGGGTTATTCTCCTTTCAAGAGAATCCTCATTCTGTGAACTTGTTGGGATATTAACCATATCTAGGTAACCAGCTAGGATTCACTTATTTTCATTTTGGCCACATAAGATAGCAATTCCCCAGCATAAAGCAACCTGAGAAACAGACACACTGAGTCTTATATAGCTTTGAAGAGTGGTTCATCCACTAGCGTACTAATCTGCTTTAACTTGTTATCCGGAGTTGATACAAGAGCTTCCTTATCTGTTGCTGGGTAGATGCTAGCAATACTTCTGTTCCAAAGTACTTGAACATTGGAGAAATCAAGTACTTTGAAGTTGTCTGTGGCTCTTTATGCTTAATCCTTGTTATGTTACCTGCTGTATCTTCCACCATTTTTCACTTTGCTTCCTTATCTCTTAAATAACAGAAAACTGCTACAGTCACAAAAAGATACTGACAGATGATTATTATGTTTTTGTTTCCAGCACATAGAGTCAAGAACTCTAGCAATTGCACAGAGCCTCACTCAACAGCTTCAGACCACCTGCCTCACACTGGTCTCAAGCCTACAGGGTCTGCCACAGAATGTGCAGGACCAGGTTTGCAGTGTTGGGTCAATGGCAAGTGATGTATACCAGAGCTTCCGGTCAGCATCCTCTTTTCAAGAACTATCAGACAGCTTTCTTGCTACTAGCAAAGGACAACTGAAGAAAATGAAAGAGTCTCTGGATGATGTGATGGATTATCTTGTTAACAACACGCCGCTCAACTGGCTGGTAGGTCCCTTTTACCCACAACTGCCTGGCATTCAGCATGCTGAGAGCAAAGGTGAAGGGGAGAAAAATTCCAGCCAGGAAGACAAACAGCTTGAACACCCTATTGAGTAAACTGCATAGCATGCATGTACTCTGCAGACTGACCAAACAAGTGACTAACAACTGTAGCTGTCAAAAAGCTTTAGGGAAAAAACTTGTGGGGGAGGAAGTCATTTGGAGAGGACACTCTCCTACAAATGCATTGTATTGTCCTGAGTAGTAAAGACACTCTAAACCAAACAGAAGTGCCTAAATATTGGCAGCTTACAGTTGTCAAGATGCCTTGTTTGTATGGTTAAGAAACCTCACTATGCTTATTAGTGGTAGTAATATCCTTATTCTTAAATGATTTTTATCACAGCTGAAAGCATTTGATCTGCTGCTCAGTCTATACCAGACTAATATAAAAGCCTTACATGCTATGAAATGCCTTTAAAAGCCTTGCATTCTAGCGAGGTACGCCTGAATTCTGTAGGTACTGCAGATCATGCATTTGATTATTTTGTAATGGCTGTCTCAAATTGAACTGTTACATGATTCATGAGGATTCTGCGAGGGCAAAATTCCAAAGCTGATAGCGGGGTTTCTGACCGAGTCAGCTGGAGTTGAATGCTGTGACAGTGCTAATACTAATGATATAAACTTACTATTGTATTACAGAGTAACCTTACAAAATCATTATCAAAGTATATTTTTGACAGTATAAAGACAAGATTCATGCTGTTTGTACTCAGGTGCCTGCTGTTTCATGCTTTTTGTAGCCAATGTTTTGTAATACATTTTGTACCTTAGTAATAAATGTTTCAGCAGCCAAAGTCTGTCTCCATTTGTATGTTGTGTAGAACATGTAACTTGCTGTTCTGTGACTCCTTTAATCTGGGTCCAAGAGAAAGCAAGCTTGCAACGCAAATGAAGTAGACACATTGAAAAATCTAAATCTATATGTGTATAGTTAACATTGCTGCAGTGTTTCCTTCTTCCCTTCTGTTCAGTCTTTGCTTTACTGTTGCTTTTTTGTGCTTACTGTTACTTGTGCAGACTGTGAACTGGTGGATGGCCTTACCCTGAGGGGAAAAAAGGATATAGAAAAGTCTTCCCCATCTAGTAGATGTTGTCTGTATGAGAGTCCCAGCTACCTGCTTTTGCTGCTGACTTGCTAGGAGTGTGTACTCTTCAACTGTCAATGCAAGCTTTAATCTTTTTTACTTTATGTACCCTCTTTTGAACTTGAGTGACTAATGTGAATTAACACTCATCTACTTGGGTGGAGTTGTTCCCTAGTAACTCTTATGACTCCCTTCCCTTGATGAGAATTATTGTTACTTGGAAAAAAGCTTTCTTGGTTTATTACTGTCCAGGTAAGTTGTGTTCTTGACACATACCCTAGGTAACTGTGCATTGCAATCATTTAATTTAGCAATGTTGGTCTCAGTTTCAAAGAACTTGCTAAACAGTGTAAATCAAAACACTAAGTAACTCTGGGTGACTCTAAGTTACTCTGGACTTTTAGAGATGAACTACAACTGGTGGCCACAACTAAAACAATGCTTGGCTGTGTTTACAGGTTTCTGCTAATAACCTAAAAAAAAACTCCTGCATTTTTGTATTGTGATTTTTTTCCCCCCACATAGAAACCAGGTAAACAGAATATGAAGTTTCTGACTCCCAGTGGAATGGGGAGCCCTTTCTTGGAAGAAGAGAAGGCTAGATTATGGTGAATTAGTATGTTCTTGGTTTATTGTACCAAGTACAAGTCCTTGCATTAAGATTATTGGATCATCTTAATGAGGACAGTGCTGGGTGTTGGAACTGAACCGTAGCTTTTATGGCATGGGTATGTTGCTGGTAATCTAGTATAGCATGTCTCTAGTCTTAATTGCAATTAAGGGACTTCAGACAAAATGTGGTAACTTTTTCTAGCACAGGTAGAATGCCAGTTAAATTGCTCACTGGAGGCATGGATGTCTTGAACATCTTCCAAAACCTTGGAACTGAAGCTGATGTGCATTCTAATAACTACTGAAAAATCTCACATTGAATGAAGAAAACCTAAAATATAAACTGAGCAGAGCCTGCTCAAAGATTGATATACACAATTATAAGGAAAAAGGTAAAATTACAGGGACAAACAGTTACACAACAAACTTGCTTGCATTTAAAAAAAAAAAAGACTAAGCACTACCCTGAAGTGTTTTTCAGAGCTATGAAGCTTCTTGTTTCATTCTCAGAAAATGAAACCAGGTGAAATGAGACTAGATACATTGAAAATGATGGGAGATAAAATAAAGCTTTACAAATATATTTATAGCAGTATACATATTAGTAAAGCCAAAACTACATGATTTGTATAACGGCTGGAGTTCTTTAGTTTGCCTCAAACTAAACTTTCTTTAAAGGCGAAAAGCTTTTGAAATCTCTCCCACTTTGTAAGATGATGACTTTCTTCCCTAGAATCTTTTCTAAACTGTATAACTTACAGTAGTGCTATGTAGCTAGTAAGGTAAGCTAAGTGAAAAACAGGCAAAAGGATTTCAGAACAACTTGTAAATCTTTTCTGTTTTAAAAATAAATAGCTTTTTGGTTAAAACAACCAAAAGAACCACAACAAAAAATTTCTCCAAGCCAGCTGGTTAAAAAGAGAAAAGGGAACCTCATTTTATTGTTTTAAGTGTAATCTGTTCATTATTTGCATGATTGGAAAATCTCGAAGCTAGCTGATGTTTTGCTGACTGTACTATGTTTTATACTATGAGTGGAAAAAATGATTTTTTTGCATAATATATGGTCTGACTAAAGTGCTTTTTCTGAAAGTGCACAACAAGAATAATCTCAAATTGCTCATGGTTCAGCTCTAAAAATACAGCAAGAAAAAAATGGGTGAGCAGATGAGCTTTAAGTTAGTGTTGATATTAACATTTGGACAGCAAAAATGCTGAACTATATCTTGTGTTATCAACACAAGAGTTCTGCAAGTTTTATGCTATTTCATGTAGGAAGATCTAACTGTATCTTACGGAGGAAAAGTACAAAGAAGGGTCATATCTAATCCTATTCTTGCAAGAACTGTCTTATGGCTTTGTTTCAACTTCCTAGCAACTATGAAATGAGTTTCATTTCTGTATCACCTTTGTGTTTAATTGTAGTCCTTTATCTAAGTAAGCCCATAACAGTGGAGGCTTTGCATTGATTTACTTAGACTGGTGCAGATGGCAGTGTGCTTTTAACACAATTTAGTATGCTCAAAACTGAGATAAATGATACTGATACCAACACTGTTTTCCTCTGATGCACAGTTACACTCCAATTTAAAATTATTTAATGGCTATGAACATACCACTAGTATGTTAGTAAGCAGTTGACTCCTTTATGTGCGCACTAAGGAAGTAAAAAGCACAAACTTGAACTGGAAAGGTTGGTTCACCTATTATCAATAGGTGAGATACGGATTTCAGTAATAGAGGTGACCCCATACTTATGACGTAGCGAAAATTACCACTGGTTAGGCACAGTTACTGAGTGCAGTCAAGTACCCTGCTCATTCTAAGTACAGAATCATAGAATCACAGAGTTGAGTTGGAACACTGAAAACCAACCCCCCTGCCATGGTCAGGGACACCTCCCACCAGACCAGGTTGCCCAAAGCCCCATCCAGCTGTGCTTTGAACACTTCCAGGGATGGGGCATCCACAGCTTCTCTGGGAAACCTGCTCCAGTGCCTCACCACCCTCTGAGCTAAGGTTTCCCTCTATATATCTAAATTTACCCTCTTTTAGTTTAAAGCCATTCCCCCTTGTGCTATTGCTCTACTCCCTGACAAAGAGCCCCCACCCCAGCTTTCCTGTAGGCCTCCTTTACGCACTGGAAGCTCCCTGTAAGGTCTCCCCTGAACCTCTCCAGGCTGAACAACCCCAACTCCCTCAGCCTGTCTTTGTAGCAGCAGTGCTCTAGCCCTTTGGTCATCCTTGTGTCCCTCCTCAGGATCTGATTTAACAGGTCCCTGTCCTTCCTGTGCTGGGGGCCCCAGTGTTGAATGCAGGATTCCAGTTGGAGTCTTGCAAGAGTAGAGAGGGAGAGTCACCCCCCTCAACCTGCTGGCTAGGCTTCTGATGCAGCCCAGGATGCAGCTGACTTTCTGTGCTGCAAGAGTATGTTGCCAGCTTATTTGGAGTTTTTCCATCCACTGATACCCCCCAAATCCCTATCCTCAGAGCTGCTCTCGACTCTTTCTCTCCCCTGTATTTGTGCTGGGGATAAACCAGTTGGTTAAACTGGTTTGGGCACATTTTTAAGTGAATTTGCAAACAAACTCCAAATTCCCCAAGAGCTACTTTGCCTTAGACTTGTTATGTATCTCTATTTGTATGATGATACGAGATGTGGGGTCATCTGCTGGTACTGACAAAATATATTGTTTTTCTAAGTACAGTAATTAGAGATTTAGGTAAACGCAATAAACTGAAAGATGCAAGACGGTTTTTGCTAGTTGAAGAATGTGTTTCCCACGTTCCTGGTGTCTTCTGAATTTTAGGAAAAGACTTAACTGATTTAATTTTGAGCAAGCTTAGGCTCTCAAATGGTGTAGGCATTTCATTGTATTCATACGATTGCCTGATACGTGGCATGCTGCTTAAATTCTTCCAAAGCCCAGTTTTAATTAATATTTTAATAAGTACCTTGTGTCCTACAGTCAACTACTCTCCAAGGAACTGAGTAATTCACGTTCAGTGCTTCAGTGCTGCCTATAACCTGATAGCTGCAGTAGTAGTCTTTCTCCTTTGGTGTGTTCTCTGTTCTTCTGGCATGTCTTCAGGGAAGGCAAAGCATAGACTTCTCTTTCCAATGCTTTTCCTAAAAATTGGTCATAAGCAAGGTGTTTTCTAGTTACAGAATGAATTAAAAGTGCTTCTCCAGCCAGTACTGGTGGCGAGGCACTGGAACAGGCTGCCCAGAGAAGCTGTAGATGTGTGCAAGGGCAGGTTGGATGGGGCTTTGGGCAGCCTCATCTCTAGGCAGGTTCCTTTGTATAACCTATTAATCCCAAGGAAAGAAGAAAGGCAAAACAAGTTTAAAAACTTGTGGAAGGTGTCCTTGCCCATGGCAGAGGGGCTGGAATCAGATGATCTTTAAGGTCCCTTCCAACCCAGACCATTCCCAGATTCTGTGATTCTAAATGCCTAGAAGCCTCTTCAAGCCACTACTTCTTCAGACATACAGAACCAACATCCCATGAGCAAGCATGTGCTGATCCTGACTGGCTTCAAATACTCATCATATTACCAACATTAAACCTAACCATGAATTATACTGTACATATATGAATTTTTCACTTGGGGTAGAAAACTTCTGGTTATGAGTAAATTCCTTAAATCTATCTCATTTTTCAGAAGAGACGTAGTAGTTTAAGTCCTGCTAATGGGACTTAAGCTCGTGTCTTAGCCAAGGTTTTTAGAAGTGTGTAACATCCATGTGTCCACTAATGTCTGACTATTCCTGAAACCCAGTAGCTGCTTAAAATACAGAATACAATATATGCAGTTGAAATAGAGGTCAGTGTATTTTTGCAGTTCTGGATATTTGTGTCCTCAGGAAAGGTTTGATGTGGTAGGCAGGCAGAGTGGTACAAAGCAATCTGTATCAAGCTTCTCTAGGCTTCTCCTTTGCATAACCCATTGATTCCAAGGAAGGAAGAAGTGCAAAGCAAGTTTAAAATCTTCAATTCTTATTTTTCTAGTCGTTTTTACTAAATGCACTCAGCGAGTTTAGCTCTGTTCCACCTCTACTACAATATCCTGTCTGCTGAGCAACTGGTTTACGTCTTGCATAATATTTGGTCTTAATGCTATATTTATGTTTAATGTGTGACAGAATATATTTCACTCTCTATTCAGTATTTTGGATCTGATTTCTATAGAAATCTAGAGCATCTTTATCTCCCAACTTCAGTCAGGAATACTTCACAAATTTATTTAGTTTTACTTTTGAATTGATTGAAATTTTGTTCCTATACAGGTTCCAGATTTCACTATTACAGACCTGTCTTCAGAGTCAGATGATATCCCAGACATTTTGGATTTGGATGAAGATCAACAAGACTTTTCACGCACAAATGGCCCATACACCACAGGGCAAAGAGTTGAATGAAGAAAAGCAGAAAAACGTACAGATACAATGTATTTTTGCCACGTTTAACCTATATTTCTCCTTTTTGAAGCTGATCCTACCTAGCTTTGGACTTTTTTTAATCAGTGCTGTTTCACTTAGCTGCATCAAAACTGATTATTACCCCCTGAGGATTAGATGCTAGGTTGATTCATTAGCTGGTGTGTCACGCTCCTGCTCTATAAACCAGGTATAGCCTAGCCAGTGCATCCAACTGATCTGATCTTTGCTAAATATTTGTATAGCTGCTTGTTCTCCTGTTGGCAACAGCCAAGAGAACACGCCAGTGCTTTGCATAAAGGGCTGCCAACAAAAGGAGTTGATGAGGATTTGCCCACCAAGTGTCCCCTTCCGAGTCTACATGGAAAGCTCCTCTGCATCTACCTCTTTGCTGCTGGAAAGGATAGGAGGCTTTGGCCGTCTCAGTTTTATTTTATTTTATTATTTTTTTGGGGGGCACTGTGCCTACAGCGATTAGAGCAGGGTCCCTTCGGGTGCTTTATCTGAGGGTGCTTTATGCACAAAAGGATGCCCTTTCTCTCTACATGCCTTCCACGTGCAAAAAATGTTGGTCATCCTGCTACTGCTGGTTATGGGACCCGAGACTAGCGGAGGGTAAAGGCTTGGCAAGGAAAGTTTTCCAGAAGGGCAGACGGCGGCTGCAAATGGACGGGGGAGACACTGGGAAGAGACAGGAACAGGTTTGGACAATAGAAAAATAACTTTTTTAAGAAATAGTGATGACGGCCAAGAGAGGGAACTGCAGGCAGAGGTATTTTTTCGCGATTTTTTTGTTTTTATTATTATTTTTGGCGAGGAGCCGGCGCGCTCCCTGTGGCGGCGGGGGCGGCGGGCACACGGCGGGCAGCGCTGGCTGCACGCCTCTCTGGGGATCCGGCCGAGCCCGCGGCCGCCGGGCGGGCTGCTGCGAGAACTTCCAAGTCACGGAAATGCCTTGAAATAAAAGACTGAACTGCGCAGCCTGGCGCTCGCCTCGCCTCTCTGAGTGGATCGGGGAACAACTGGAGGCGGGGAGGGAAGGGGAGAGGGATGAAGGGAGGGGGGAGACCGGCCGCAAGATGGCGGCGGCGCCCTGGCAGAGGGAGCACCGCCTCCCGGACTACACTTCCCAGCGGGCAGCGCGCCGAGAGCGCGGCCAATCAGAACGCGGCGGGGAGGTGCGGCGCGGCGCGGCGCGCGGCGGGAGCGTGGTTTTGGCGGGAGGAGGAAAATGGCGGCCCGGTGGGGGCCGCTGGGGAGGGGGACGGGGACGGGGAAAGAGAAGGGGAAGGGGAAGGGGAAGGTGGCGGCGGCGGCCGCTCTGCGCCTGTTGCCGTCGGGAGTTCCAGCCAAGGCCGCGGACTGGAAGCGAAGGCACCTCTGGTTCTGCCTGCTGGCGCTCGGCTTTGACCCGCAGGCTGCGGAGAAGTTCTTGGACAGGGAGCTGCACCTGGGAGTGTGAGCGGGGGCGGCGGGGGGCGGGGGGTGGCCGGGGGGCTTCTGTGGCGCGGGCAGCGCGCCCTGAGGGCTTTGTAAGGCGGTGTCCGGCCCGCGTGAACCCTCAGGGGCCGGTGGAAACGCTGCCCGGGCCCCTGATCGCGGCCGTGCCCCACGCAGTGTGTGTGTGCTCGCCAGGTCCATGTTCGATGCGCCCAACGCGGCTGCCTTCCACGTCGTCGCCCAGTTCCTGTTCAGCAAGCTGGATCCAGTGCGCGCAGCCAAAGTGTTCAGGTGAGCCTGCGGGTTTGTGCCGCCCTGAAGCCAAAGGGTGGGCCCCCAGGCAGTACTTTTTTTTTCCTAGCTGTGAAATAATCTGTCTCTTCTGTTCATTTCCCTGACCAAACATTGTGTGACTTCTCCCTTTTTTGAATACCTGCCTCAATCTTCGATGTTGTGAGAACCCTATCTTAATGTATTCTCACAACAGCCGAACTATCTTATCATACATTTTAAAGAAATGGCTGGAGGAGAACCACTGTTAAGAAAATTTTAAGTTCTGAGGCTGCTTTTCCACTTGCTGAGTTAAAAAGAAATGCAGAAAAATTTGTCTCTGAAGTAGTCTGTAATTAACTTTTAAGTTAACTTTTTAAGCAAGAAGACCTTCTAGCTATTTAACAGACTTGTAGCTATGCTTCTCATAGTCAGTATTACCATATTCTCTGAGTTCTTCAGGAGTCATCACTAAGAAAACTTTCTCTTAGTTTAGATGTTGTAGTGGTTAATTATGTAACTGAGTATTTGGGTATGTTTTGAAGTTGCTTTTTTTTTTTCCTCTCTTCTCTCCTCTGCACTTTTTGCATGGAAAAGGGATTGTTTGTTACCAGAACAAATAACCAGAGATACTGAATTTAGGAAGCAATGTTGTTCATGGCTAAAAGATATCGCAGTAAGTATTACGAGAGTTGGAATTGATATGTTGCTGGTTTCTGTGACGTCATTCTTTTGTTTTGAGAACATATTTGAGTTTTAAATAAAGTTGCTTTACTAGACAAATAGGTTTCATCTTACGCCTTTTTTTACAGAGCTGATAATAGACTTCTTAAAAAAAAATTGGCGGAGCATAGGTAACAAAGTCTTAATCGTGGATCAGAAAACTGTTCTGTATTGCTTTTGGATTATGATATTTTGTTACACAGAAGTCACAGAATTGTAGAGTATCCTGATTTGGAAGGGACCCACCAGTGTCATCTAAGTCAGTGTGAGATTTCTTCCGTCATTGAGAATAATTGCTTCGATGTGGGAGATAATTGCTTAAATTAAATGAGAGAGTATTTATTATTGTGTAAGTAGTTTCAGATACATGAAAAACTTTTAATGTTAATCTTTCTTTCTGGGGAAAAGAGAATAAAGTTTAAGGTAGGCTTTCTAAATGGAAAAAGACAAAATGGCTTGATTACTATGCCTTTTCATGCTCCATTTGTTTTAATAAAGATCTGATTTCTAGATCTCTAAGCTACCAGAGCACTTTTATTTTTGACAAGGTGAAAGCCAACCATACAAAATCTTTGAGCAAGATAAAAGTGTGACAAAATACACTGATTAATGACCTCAGTAGAAAATATGAAAGGTAAAGGATTACGTTTAGGAGTGAGGAGAGCAGAAGTTTTTAATATTTATCTAACACTGATTTCAGTCATTGCCTCAGAACTGTTTTTTATGTACGGAACTAGGGGTGATGGTAGAATGTTCAAAAAGTGTCAGTATCTTTCTTGGGCTAGAAAGAGCGTCAATGATGGTGGCAAGATAAATTAGCTTTGCATTGGACTTTCTAACAAGTAGGCTGCATGAAACACTCAGCAAAATGTTTAATGGCTGTTGTTTAGGTTTTATTCCTTAGTCTAATTTTGTGTTTAAATCTTTTTCACTTGTTCAAGAATGAAAGCAAAAACTATCTTCCTCCAATTGTGACTTCTTCATTTCTTTCTCCTGCTGGTTCTAAATTTATTCACCTAATGTATCGGTTTGCAAGATACGTAATGATTAAGAACCTGAAAAAGAACTCTGTAGGTAAGCTATAACAGAATAATAATATTATTTCACTTGTCTGGTTTGATGGTGAATCTGTGAAGTGCTCTAACATATGCCAAAAGCTTTAAGTTATGTCAGTGTTGGTTGCTCAGTTCAAAGTTTTTAACAGGGTTGCTGTGCACTAGTATAAAGCTATTGCTGGTAGAACAATGCAGATTGTTTTGCTTGCTGTTGTTTTACAGGTCTTGTTCCTAAGTGTGTCTATGTAATGTGGAGGTGGGTTTTCTGTGCAGGCACGCAGTGGTTCAGTTGAAAAGTATTCTTTTCAGCCTATGCTCTTTTTCACAACATGAGGAATTCTGAAAGATCAGGACTGTCTGTTCTAGGCTTTTAATGTTGTTTTGGTGACATAAAGAATGGGGTAAGTGGGTGAGAGTGAAGGAGTGAGAATGTATGCAATAGAAAGAACTGGCAAAAAAAAGATAGTATACTGAATACTTTAGTCCAGGTAAAATGGGCAACCTTGTTTGTGATTCTCTTAATTAAAACTAGGTAGAACAGGAAGTTGTCTATTTGCTAAAAGTGAATGATATACCTCAATTACTAACTTTCACTTAGGCAGCGATACATCTTCTACTGAAGCTGTAAACTTAATTCCTGAGGATATGCGCAAGGCAAAAGCAAGATGTAATGTGGCACGTAATAAGCTCCTGCGAATCTTGCAAAAGAAGGATGTTATTATTCGAGAATATAACAAAAAATCACAGTAAGTAATATATTTAAAGAAATCGAGTATTTTCTTAAAACTTGACTTTTTTTGCATGTGTTTTTAAAAGGATTTGAGCAGAATGCATCTGATTTTCTTTGTGAGTTTTGCTGAATGTTGTATTTTGCTCCCCCTTTGCCTCCTTTAATTAACTGTTTTACAGTTTGGAATAAATCAGTTTTTTAGTTAGGAGGTGCTATGGAAGATAGGATTACCTGGGCACTAAAAACGATCCAGGAATTTTGCATAGATGGCACTATGATTTCTTAATGTTTTAAGGATCATACTATAGAATAAAACTGTCTCAGTATGAAATATTTGGTCTTTGCTTTATCAGTATGGGACACGTTTTATTTGTATAGCCCTTAATTATTTCACCTAATTTATGCTTTTTCTTTATTATTCTTGTTTATGAAAATCACTTCCAGTTTGGGAAACTAGAATAACTGGAACTCTGTGCAGTTACATAGTTACTTACCATTGGAATTTACAGAATTTGGGTAGGATACTTCACGTGACGGGGTACTGTAGCGGGCAGTTGCAAGCTATTTAGAAAAGAGCAGAAAAGGAGGAGGGGATGCAGTGTAGGTAAAAGAGCAGTTTCACTGCACGGAACTTAGCTGTGTAAAATGGGATCAGTCTGTTTCATGACTTTGGATCAAAAATCAGAGGCATTGCCACTAAGGCATGTGATGTGTATCTGCTACACACCCCTCAATCAGGGAAAGCTGATGAAAAGTTGATCAGGGAAAGTTTGTTTCTTTAAGCAAATCAAACACATTTCAGGCTTTCACGTCCTAATTCTTACTAGTGACTTCAACATACCCTGATATTTGCTGGAAAAGCAATGCAGTGATGTGTGAGCAATCTCGGCAACATTTTGACTGCACTGAAGATTACTTGGTAATGCAGTTAGTGGGTGTGCTGAATAGGAATGATGCTGAGTATTGTAGTAAGTAGTAACTTCATTAATGTATTTGCGTCTAATGAAGGCCATGCCATTGCAATAGAATATGTTACAGCTAAATTTACAAATACCTTAGTGGCTTTTCAGGCTGTACAGTGTTATTTTCTCTACAGTGTCATGGTAAGGAACTTGTGTATCCATGTTTGCGTTGTTCTAAAACTGATCCGGTATGCAGGTTTGGAAAGAATACGTGTAATCACATAGTGATTGTAAGAAATTCTGAGAGTAGCAGAGAAAAACTAAATTAAAAAAAATCTGATGACTGTTGATTTTTTTTCCTTAGGCTTTTAATTAAAGAAATAAAACAGACAAAATCTGAATATGCATACCATCAGCAACAGTTGTTGAAGTAAGTACTTTTCCTTGGTACTAAGCTAGCATATATAAAATGAATTTCTTAGTTCTAAAGAATGTTATGAACCATAATTTTATTGTAGTCCGCTTAACTTTTGTCTTGCATGTGCATGTAGGATGAGGCTCAATGGCAAAAACAAAAATGACAAAACAGAGAGAATTCAAAAGGTGAGTATCCTTAATCTGTGGCAGTTTACTGTATTTCTAACATTTTTACAACACTTGCTCTCAGATACTGATATTGCTGATTGTCTGCCTGTGATAATGCTAGCCCTTTCATCTGCTCCTACCCTGTTTCGATATTATATCATTATAGTATTTCAGCAAAAATGTTAATGTAGTATTTTTGTCCTTCTTGCCTATTAAGGTCCGCAGTATGTGGACATTTGTAATGGACACTCTTACATCTCTGAAAAAGGAAATTGAAATCGTAGACTCTGTAATTGAAGGGCGTGTTGATCTGTACACTTTAACTGGAACTAATGTCAATGTTCCACAGCTGTTGGCTGACAGAGTGGAAAGTGAAATCCATGAAGTAAGTGATTTTTGTCCTTTTGTCCTAAAAAAAAGTATGTAAAAGTTTGTTGTGATTACGCCGCTGTTCTGTATTGGTGGTGCTTAAATTATGAACTTTTAAGTAACTGCATTGTTATATCTGCCTGATGACCACTTGAATTAAAATTGGTCAGACATTATAAAACTTGACATTTGAACTATCATTCCTAATGGATTTCATTTCTAATGTGCAGTATATGTGCTGTTTAGGCCTGCACCATCTTTTGAGGCATTGTTTAAAAAGAATACCCCATTAGTTGAAGCATTCTTAGTTTGTACTGCTTTTTAGCTTGTCTTCAAGCAGATGATGCTAATCAGGAAAACCACTCTGAAGCTTAAATCTAGCAAACAGGAATGGATTCAAACTGCAAACTGGAACATTGTGTGTTTGCTCTGAATATAGAAGACAACTTTCTGATATTGATGTGTTGTGATTATTCACGTATACATTTTCTCTTTTGGAATATCTCAAGGTGTGTACAGGAAATTTATATGAAGGTGAAAATCTGAATTTTTTAACAGTCATTCAGTTATTAAATGGAGCCCTGAGGATCTTAAGAGATGAATGTTGTCAATTTGAATCAAAACATTTCACGGACATCAAGAATACAAGTGAATTCCAAAATAAAATACTATTGAACTTGAAAGCAGTGAGGTAACTGTCTGGAATTTTTGTCTTGATCTTTAGTTTGAAGATTATGTCTTCCTATCTTAAAACCTTTTCTAAAATTATTGTTTATAGTGAGAATGTTAGTTCTGTTTTTTTCCCCCCTCTGCCTATGACAAATTCACCTTTGTCTTGATTGTCCAATCTTTCTGTAATTCTTCACTAGGTAGCTTCATTCTCTTGCCCTTACTTCATGGATATTTTAGGGTTTGTTCTTGGAGATCTGGTTTGTTAGATGATCTGCTTTTTCCTATTACATAATTAGTTCTGAGATTTTAAAAGTTGATCTGAAACTGGCTTAGGGAAAGCTTAAGCTTGTATTTTAGGGTTTGTATGTATTTTGCATGGTTTTTCTAATTCTACTGTAAAGAAGCACAAGGACAATCTAGCAGCTGATTTTTAGATTGTGAATTTTATTTATTTTTTGTGCAAGAGCAAATGCATGAATAAGTTCCTGCATATCAAAGGTTTTGCAGCATGAGGGGAACATGTGATATGCTCCATTTCTTAAGCAGAATTTTCATCTCCAACAACAAATGTTCATTTTACATGCTCATGTTATAGGCAAAAAATAGAAGAGCAGCATTGTAAGTCATTGAGAGAATTGATTTCTGGAAAACAGAAGGAGCTGGAAATGAAGTGGAAAAGCCATCTTGACCAGTGTCCTTATTCTTTAAAGAGAGGTCAGGATCCAGTAAGTAGTGTTCAGTTTATCTGATTCTGGGAAAGAAAAAGAGTGAAGATGGGAAGGGATATACATCCAAGTTGGTGTGTTTTATTGCAACAGAATGCTGTATAGCTCTGTTAAGCTTTGTATATAAGGTTAGTGGATTAGATAGTACAGAGTAGCAGAAATTGCTTTATGAATTAGTTTTTCTTCTTTGCAAAGAAGATGCACTTAACTTAAAGACAGCTGGTGTCTTCAATTGAGATGGGGAGTGGAACTACTTTGTCAGGACAGTAGATCAGCATAAATAAGGGTTAATACTGTTTTTTTTTATTTTTTATTTTTCCCTCTTCTCTGAAAATAGAGCTTTCAAGTGCTGTCACTGAACATCTGCAGAGTTGTGATTTTCCCCTTTAAGGTGCTCTATGACCAACAATTTCATTCAGACACTCCTATTTCTACAGAGATTCAAGATTATACCCTTGCCTAGGCACACAGCAGAGACAGCAAAAGTTTCATGTTGGGTCTGGGTGCTGCTTTGAAGAAAAGCTATTGTAAATAACTATGTGTTAATTGCTGATGTTACACACTTTTACTCAGCTTGCTTGTATTTTTTTTTTCTTTTGATAGGATCTTGATTTATTAGAAGCTGTGTCATGCTTTTTTCATCCTGCAGAAGAAGCTTATAAGGATACAGTCTCATTTCAACTTGAAATACCGCTTTTAGGTATGTGGACTAGAGGAGCTTCTTTTCGCTCTTCCCCCCACAATTGTTAGAAGTTCCTTTGAGTCTGGAAGACTTCCTACTTTTGTTTGCAAGTCTCTTTGACAGTCTTTGATAACCTGGTCCTGAATGAACACTCGTCACAATTGCCTAACCTTTTTTCATCTTCATTAACATGTGCAGGGGAGCAGATAGAATCCTGTCTCTGGAACATGCATTCAGGAACAACAAAAATAGGCATGGGCTGTTAGTGGCATTTGTGGCTGCAGGTGGTTCCCATGCAAAAGGATTTTAGATTTGCCTGCACTGGTTATGAATTTGCTTGAAGTGTTAATGAATTCCATCCAGTGAATATTGTACAGAGGTGATCTGAGTCGCTTTTATCACCTGGGAAGCCTGAATGATAGCAAAACAAAAGAAGCAATACTAAAACTTCGACTTACTTTATAGATATTTATGACTCCATTTGTGAGAAAAATTACCAGAAAGATGAAGAGACCTCGGGAAGTATGATGGATAATTCAACACTACAACCAACAAGATGGTAATGACTTCAATGAGAAATCGATTGGGGGGGGGGGGGGAGGGGGAAAGGCAGTGGAAATCAGAGAAACTTATTTGTAAGCATCAGAGGAATATATTTCATTAGCCCACTCCTTACATGTCAGAACTACTGAATTGGTCAAGATGGTCCTAGAGTAACTGGCTTTCTCCATCTGGAGACAGAGGGACCAACTGGCTTCTGCCAGATACAATGTGCGGCAGTGGAGTTGCAAGTTTTTGGCTTCAACTTTTTAACAACATTTATTTAAGTTTCAAGAGACAGAGGGGAAAAAATGGAAAACTCTCTTTCTAAGGCTGAGATGAGATAGCCAATGCATAGTTGTTATTGCCTGAGGCCAAGAGCACAGATATTCACACATCCCTGGTTTTGTGTGTAAAGAGAAAAACAAAACAACAACAAAAGAAAACTCCAAAGAAAACCAAACAGAAACACCAGACTTGAGCAAAACTGTTTTGCTGATGCTTTATGAATGGGGCTTTTCTCACAAGTCTTCTAAAATCACATTGTCACTTCTGTTATTACAGTTCCAACAAAAGAGTAAAACACAAGACTGTAGTACTATATACAGCATTATGAAAGGTTTTGACCTGCCATTTAAGTGCAGGAAAGTTTAATGCCCTTTTGAATAATGATGTTTCAGGATAAAAATCCTACAGATAGTTGCAAGTTGCCTAATAGAAGAGAGAGGGAGTTAGCAAAATAAGCTGTCCTGTACTTAGTCATCAGTAGCTGTGTTTGCATATAAATCTCAAAAGTTGTCCAAGTAGTTGACAGTTAAATCCTGTATTTCTGTCACTGACTTGATACAGCATGTTTTTTTTTTTGTCTATTTGTGATTGTGAAGATAGCCACAAGTGAGTTAAAGTTGCCATTTCTTAACTAATTTTGCTATCATTCTTAACTAATGATGGCTGTACATCAGTTTGTGGAGTGTTGCCATTAACACTACAGTCATTCGAACTGGTAAGACTTGAGTATTTGTAGCCAGATGATGTGTATTTAAATATTTATGAGTTTGCTTTCAAACAGATCTGTGGATATCAGAGGGATTTGGAGGAAGAAGATCTAGGGAAAAATACATTATCAGGTCTGCAGAAGACTTTCCAGTTATCTTTGATAGCAGAATGTAGAAGACTTGTTTGCAAAACATATTGCAAAAACTCTTATTTTTCTATGTGGTAATCAAGTAAAAGAATTTTATAATTATAAAGTTTGGGAGGCTGATACACAAGTAGGGCTGAATCTGCTCTAATTGTCACATGTTCTCCCTATAGTAAAGTTGCCTTCTGATGACCGGGACGAATTGAGAGAAATCGTAACGGACAGATACGGGGTGCACAAGTGTATGATGACATTTTACTAAGACTTGCATGCCACTTATTTATTTTTCTAAAATAGTATTTTTCTTTTAGGATCTCTTCAGTATCTTTGGACTTGTCAGGAGCATCTGAAAGCAAAGACATGTTAATTGAAAAGGTTATTCTTCAGTATTGTCCTAAATGTCAAAGAAGTTAAACTTCTATAGTATTTGCTGTTTTGCATTGATTGAAGCCTAGACTTAGCATGCTTTTTTTTTTTTTTTTTTAAATCATGTAACTACATTTCTGAATGGATCATATACAGTGAAAGGTAACTCCCACAAACTTCTGTAAGCACTAGGAAAGGAGAATAAGAAATACGGGCACTTGCTGCTGACTTCTAGCACAACATACCATTTGTCAACGATTCCCTGCCAGCTGAAACAGTTTTTTTTATATGAACAATGGTCAGACTGGTTCCTTTAAGCTGTGTGTGAAATTAAGGGGTATAATGGGGCCTACAGGCAACTTGGATGTGCAACTGACCATTATACAATTGTTCACTGCAGTGTGTTAAAGGTAGTTGCAGGTGATGAGATGTGTTCTGTACAATAGTTTATTGTAGCCGCTATGTTTGTCCTGCTTCTTTAAAAACACAGTGAGTGTCAAAATGGCTTGTAATGAGAATTTTAGACTTTGAGATATTTTTGTTGACATAACAGAGAAGCTATTGCTCTCAGAATTTGCGCAGCATCTCCTTCATGCTAGTTTTCTGACACTTGAATTTAAAACTTCTAATAATTCCTGTGTATTCCTCTAGGACTTCCGTACTGAAACTTACAATGGGAAAGAAAAACCCGTCACTCCAAAGATCTCAGAGGAGATGGAGGACCTCATCATTTCAGTTGAGGAGAATACAGTTACCTGCACAAGGTCTGCCGTCCAAAAGGAAGACCTTCTTAAGAAAGCCACAGAGGAACTGGCAGAAGAGGTTAGGAAAAACTGTGATTTATTTATTTATTTTACATAAATGGCCGTTAAGTTCAGAGAACAAATCACCAATGTTATCATAAATACATCTTCTAATCTGTTTATATAAACAGATTTTTTTCTGTTAAGTAGTAACCACCAAATTTTAGGAGTTACCACCCAGTTAACTAAACCTGAAAGCATAGCACTTCAGCAATTTATCCTTTTAAGCCATTGTGGTGGTTTTACCTTCCTAGGCAGCTGAACTCCACGACAAGCGCTCTCTCACTCCCCCTCCTCAGAAAAGGAGGGGAAGAAGAAAAGGGAAGAAACAACTCATGGGTTGAGATAAGGATAATTTAATTAAAAATAATTATTAAGGAAAAAATATTATTAATTAAATAATATAACTAAAGGGAAAAAAGGGAAAGGGCAAAAGGGAGGAAAAAAAAACTACAGGCAAAGGCTGTGTGGAAGTGTGGAGGAAATAAATTGCTCTCTCCTTCCCACCAACAAGCAATGCTTGACCATGTCCTTGAAGCAGAGCCTTAATACGTGTAGCACACGTGTAAAAACAGACGTTTTTACGAGAGCCCACCTGTCCCCTCTTCTTTCTTTTTCCACCTTTATTTATTTATTTATTTAATTTATTTTTTTTGCTTTGTTATTGTCTCGTCTTCCATAAGAAATACATGTAAGCATACAAATAATCTTTCATCCCACACTCCCCTATCAAGGTTCAGCTGTTGTAGAGTAGGACACCTATGGCAGTATATCTGGAGTCAAAATGGACAACACCATTAAATTAAAGCAAAATTATTTACTTATTTATTTTTATTGCTGAGTGTGTCATCATATGGTATCATATCACTTTGGTTGGTTTAGGTCAGTTGCCTTGGTGATGTTCCTTCCTCACCTTTTGCTGAACTCCATCCTGCTGGCTCTTGGTGGGGTTAGAGGCAGTCCTGATGCTGTGCCAGCACTACTCAGCAGCAGACACAGCACTGGTGTGATACCACTGCTGTTCTAGCTACAGTTGTAGAGCACAGTATTGTATGGACTGCTGCAGGGAAAGTTAACTCCATCCCAGCTGGATCCAGTACAGCTATCGAGAAGTGAATAATGCTTTCAGTAGAATCATGGCATTTTTACCACCTTTCATATTTTAAATCTACAAATGACTGCATATATTTAGAATTTAGCAGTCCTTTTTGTTTATGAAATTCTATGAGCTAAATATTTAACAAGCTTGGGGTTTCTAGGCAAGGATTTAACCTTTTTGTTTTAGGTATTTTAGTTAAGATTTAAATATTATGCCTTATTTAAATAAGGCATTCCTTTAGAAAACTTATTACATTTACCATAGCTTGATTTGGAAAGTAAATTGCATCTTTCACTGAAAGGGCACAGTTTGCTGTCATCTACTAAAATGTCATGTTGTTGGAAATGTAGCTCTCATCTTCATTCTTGTACTATTCTTGACCAGTGTCTCAAATATCTGCTGAGCACACTTTCTTATTTTTAAGATGGATTCATAGATGACCAGGGAGCTTCAGATCAAGTTCTAATTTCACTCCTGCATCTTATTTTTATGTTTGTAGATCGCTGTGCTCATTTTTAAACCCATACAGTAAATTGCAGACAAGTCAAGAGGTTCCAGATTGTTCAGAATATTTGGAGAATGGTATTTGCTTGGGTCCATAGGCTGGCAGAAACAAAGAAGTTACAATTTTATTTTCTCAGATTTTGCTCTTTTCTAACATCCTACAGGTTGCAAAAACTGTGACATCTGAGTCACCTCAGAGTGGTGGAGGAAAAGGAATAACATTAGAAGATCTCATTAGCTCACAGGCTTTTAACCCATTTTTGACAAGGCAACAAATTCCCCGAACTCCTGAAAATCTGCGTAAGTCTAAACCCTGCTTTTATAATACTCTGTCACTGATTGGAAATGTGATTAATTCATTGAATTGTAGATACCACACAAGAAGAAAAGAATAATTCACTTAGTGAAGCTGCATGTTATCCTAACTGGCTCCTCTTTGTGTAACAGTGTACTATGACTAATGAACACACTAAATTTGCTTTAATGTGCATGTTCCCTGTATGTGGAGTCCCCTTTCTGTTGGGGGGCAAATGGCTGGGAAAACTAGCATTAAGCAGTATAAAGCAGTTATTACATCCTCTTTTCTGGATTGCTTATATTACTAAAGTGACAGAAGAGAAATATACTGATGAGGAGTATGAAAGAACTTAAATTTTACCTGGGTTTGTTTCATTTAGTTACTGAAATCAGAAGCTCATGGAGAAAAGCTATTCAGACTGACGAATCACCAGACGTAGAGCTGGCCCCAGCTGAAGTCATGACAGAAGAATCTCCAATGGATGCTAGTACTACTGTGCAGAATGAAACAGATACTACTTTAGTCAGGTCTACCTCTGCATCTCCTGTATTTGACTTTGATTCTACTTCGACAGAATTTAAAGCTCAGAACCAGATGAGGAAAAGTAATATCAGTGGATGTCCAGTTTGGGAAACATCTGGAGTACAAGAGAATGAAGGCGATAAAGAACAGGAATTAGAGCGCACTGTTTTGAGCAGAATTTCTGTAGACAAGACAGAAGAACCTGCTTCTCTAGATGTAGAAAACAGCATAAATACTCCAGATAAATTTTCAGAACGCAATAGTAGAATAAATACTGTACCCTCAAACCAACTTTGGGATTCCCTAGTGGATAGAATTCTGCAGTGGGATGCACCTTCAGTGTTAATGTCTGACAGCTGTGAAGTAACTGAGGCAGGAATACTTCATGAGACTCTTCCAAAAGAATTTGATAGCATAGATCCTAATAAATCTACAAGCTCGGAGTCTGATTGTGATGTATTGAACAGCAAGGATATACCTGGTAGTACAAAAATTAAAGGCTGTGTTGAAGAATTAAATATAGATCGACTGTCTCTGGTCAGCAGATACGAAATGCTGAAAGAAAATGCATCTGGAAATAGAGAGAAACTGCATCATACACATGCTGGAGATGAATCTGTAAGTTACATATCAGACCTAAATCTTAGACCAGAAAAAGAAAGAGATGACTTATGCAGCACTAGGGATCTATTCAGTTTGGATGAAGAGTTTACCAAGGCACCATCACCATTATCTTTTCCCAAAGGAAATAATTCCTTGTCACCTTTGCTGATGTTCACTCAAGATCTGGAGGAAATGGCATCAAAGATACACAAAATCTCATCAAACTTAGTACGTAAACTGAAGGGTAAGTGTCCATGTATTTGTGCTAAAGTAACAAGGTGTTGTCCATTTTGACTCCAGATATACTGCCATAGGTGTCCTACTCTGAACAGCTGAACCTTGATAGGGAAGTGTGGGATGAAAGATTATTTGTATGCTTACATGTATTCCTTATGGAAGATGAGACAATAACAAAGCAAGCAGGCTTCCTTCCTCTAGTTTTACCAGCATCTTGCAAGTAGGAGAGAAGTTACTGTTTGGCTTTCTAAGGAAATCTACAGCCGAATTTGAAGTTAAATTTAGAGAATTCATGAAGTTGATATGAAATAATGTTTACTCTGAGCAAATGTGGCTATCTAGAAATGCACTGTAGGTAACTGGAACTTTTTTGGTTCACAGTCTATAATACTGGTATACTTTTTATTAGGAAATAACCCCATCCCTGGAAGTGTTCAAGGCTAGGCTAGATGGGGCTTTGAGCAACCTGGTCTAGTGGGAGGTGTCCGTGTTTATGGCGGAGGGGGGTGGAATCAGGTGATCTTTAAAGACTCTTCCAACTCAAACCATTCTGTGATTCTCTACTGCATTCCAGCCTGTCCCCTGTGCTTCCAGTATAGCGTCCTCTTTGGTTGACCATTGTTGCAGTGCTTTACTAAATCAAAGGTTAACTTTCATATACATAAATGAAGATGAGTCAGTAATAGCTATACAGAAGGTTGTTTCAGCAAAAGCTGTGTTTTTAGTGGCATGCTAGGAGTTCAGCAGAACAGGTTAATCTGAAGGATGAGTGAGATTTGTGTTTTTCTATGGATTGCCAGTTTAAATTATCAAACAAAGTTTGTGATGCTTTTTCAAGTAGTGCTTGAGAAGGAAAGCTTACTGTATGCATGACTCATTTGTAAATTTACTTGTAAGGTTATTTGTAAGGTTAGATTGCTTAGTTCTGCTTTACAGTAACCTCACATGGAGTAAGAGAAATAAAATTCTGCTGCTGTGAGTCTGCTGGTTACAGCTCTGAAAAATAACTTTGGCTTTCTAAGGTGCGTAGTCTTTTACCCCAGTTCTGTAGTACAGAACTTAACACTTAATTAGTGTTGTTTTAGTGTATTATTTTGTGAAAAGAGCAGGTGAGGCTGTGACGGAAGTTGATTGTGAGAATGACTGTGCCTTTTTTTTTATTTTCTTTATCAAAGGGTACAATAGAAGATATTTTGGACTAGGCTACTGCCAGTATAGGAGGCAACTTGAGCAAGGCTTCCAAGCATTCTCTTGAAATGGAACATGAACGCTTGTGCTATCTATTTTCCTCTTAATTCTGCTGTACAGGTGCAATGAAGTAACTTAGCTTTTGCTTAAATTTGTGGCTATACGGGTAGCAGATAATTTTATCAGACCAGAAACAACTAACAAAATTAGAAATAACATTTCATATGTTTTCTTTTAATATATGCCAGATATTTCTGGAACAGTATTTCTGTCAGTTAATTGAATATCACATTATGTTAACTAATGTTTTTTATTCTAGGTGAAGAGCAGTTGAATGAGAAGCTGCACACACAGGAATCATCTTCAGGACAGAATTTGTAGAGGATAGGCATAACCATAGCATTATAATTATGTTGCACTTGTGATTGTAGTATCTTCTCCAAACACTACCCAGATGAGAAGTTGTGGTCCTTTTATTTCTTGCTAAGCCTATATTCCAAACCGCTTGTTCAAGCATCAGTTGCCTTCCTCCAATTCCATGTAATCCACTTCTGTATTCTGTGAACAGTCTATCAGCTATGTACAAAATGATATATTTTGTAAACACAGTTTTAAAAATAGCAGATGGTATGGGCATGACATAATTGTAGAAAATAGTAAAACAAAAACTGAAGTGAGAAGTAATGAAATTTTCACTTCTTATTAAATTCTGCTTTATTTTCCAAAATATGTATTTTTTGCTCTCTCTTCATATGAATTCTCCTCTCCTTTTGAAACGTCTAGTCAAGTATTGCCATCAGTTTTCCCAGTTGATAAGGGGAACTTGACTCCACTTTATTAACACAAACAAACAAAAAATTATTTTTGAATAGTAGATGCTCTTTAATAAATTTATGTAAGTATGTATATTATAATGTATAAATGCATGTTTATGACTGTGATGTAGTTAACTGACAATATATAAAATAGGGGGAAAAATTGTAAAAGTTCAAATTCTGCCATGTAAACTACGTACTGTAGGAGTACTGATCCCTAACCTTATAGTTTACAGTATTTTGAAGAATCTCAACCTATATGTGACATTTTCCTTTTAAAGCAGAATTTGACAAGTTTAATAAAAAGAGATTTATGTGGCCAGTTGTGGAAGTTACAAAGTGGCTGCTGACAGCTAACTCGTTAAAGCTACTTTGTTCTTGTACCAAAGCACTAGCAGCAGAACAGCTAAGGCGGGAATACTTCATAATACTCCATTTCCGTGTTGGTCATGGTCAAACAAAGGGAGAACTGGAAGCTCAGACAGTATCTGTGGGCTGTCTGGAATACACAGAGCTGTGTTCCTTGCAGAACTGTGCTCTACAGCCTGGTGCTGGTGACTTCACAAAGGCTTCCCAGGTGACTGTCCCAAGGAGTAGTGCCCTGATCAGGAGGGCCTTGAAAGCAGGGCCCACAGAGCTCTGGTCAGGACGCCACCAGGCCAGGAAAGGAGCTGGTGAGCTGGGATGTGCTCTGTCAGTACAGTCTGTACCATCGTCATGTGCTCTCATGATGCTTCTGGAGGTTCCCAGATTCTTTTCTGATACCACTGTCTCCAGGGACTGCTGCTGCTAAAGAGATTTTTCCACTATAGAGCATTACCTGGTCTGTAATCGTTTTTCTTAGCAAACATGCCTCCCATGTCTCCTGTGCCTTTACATGAGGTTGCATCCTTGAAGAAATGCGTTTGTCAGCTGTGCTCCTGCGGGTATGTAAAAGAGGCTGGGGGAAGGAGTTTGGCGTAGTAGTTCCTTGGCTAGCAAGCTGCATTGCTCCTTAGGGCTGCAGATGTTTTTGACTGCTATAAGTTGCATATGGAAAATTAGAAATAAAGGTATTTTAGAGCAGTTTTAAAACACTAATGATTTTTTTCCACATAGTGCCTATTGAATGGTATGGTTCTTGGTTTTGTCATAAGAGTAGACATGTCAGAGAGACTTCCCATTTTGGCTTATGTAAGCAGATTGCCTCTCTAGGAGAGCTTTAAACTTTGTCCACAAACCTGCTTTTGAGTAGGTGTTACTGTCTTTGATACAAAGTGATACGTACTCTGTAAACATTGAAATTCTGGGAAAGACACAGGGTGAGAGTTTACAAATAGAAGAGACAACTGAAAATAGCAGGATGCATTAGTAGTTTTGTTAAGTGTAATTCTTGTGAGTGTACGCAAGCTCTTTTCCTGAAAGTAGTAATGAACTTTACGCCTTCTGGCATACGATCTATTCTCCCATACTTGCAGGTTAAAAGTAAAATTATGATTAGGTAGAAAAAAATATCTTTGACTGTTGCCTTAGTTTGCTTTAAAATTGTTAAATTATGAAGACACGAAAAAGCGAAAGATGCCCACACAGAGTTCACATCAGCCTGGTATGCATTATTGTTCATTATGAGTACAGCTGGGCAACTCTGTTGAGTTGGCATAAAGCAGAAATGCAGAGGGTTATGGTATACATGTATTTCTGTTCCTGTTCTGGGTATATCAATAGTTCTAGGTCATGTACCATATCTGGTGGTGCTTTTCTGTGTCACGAACAGTGGTTTCTGATACATTCACATGTAGGCAGAGACATCCCCATGAAGTGGATCTAATCCATATCATATATGTTTGTTCTGGCTGCTTTGATGTCTCTTCCAGCTGCAAGCATTTTAGTAGTAAGCAATTATGAAAACTAGGCAGGCAAAGCTGCAAGAAGTTGTTTATATTTAATGGAAAGCAACACAGGAGCCAGGGACACAATTATATCATTTGAGTTTGTGTGTGGACATCTTTAATTGGTTAAATAGCTTATTTACATAGTATCCTTAATAAATAAATAAATAAAAAAAAACCTAATTAAAGGTGTTAAAGTGTGAAAGATAGATGTTTTAAATCCAAATAGGACTGGTGTTGTCTATGCTGTAGCTCCTGCAGACAATACTTAAATGAAAAGAAATGACAGGACACAACTGGTAGCTATTGCAAATCAGGTAGATGGTAGCTAAAGTAGCCTGTGAGGAAAAAAAAGAAGTGGGCTGTGTGTTACTAATGTGATTCAGAATAACCTAGAAAGCTGTACACTTATGTGGGAGCAGTGCTGTACAGATAATCAAAGATCATTAGGTAAACTGTGAAAAATACCTATTTCCCTTCTCCTTGGAACAGGTTTGCTTATAGCTGTCCTGGTTCCACATTGCATTACATGCTCTTATGAGATGGAAATAATGTTTAGATCTCAGTTTGTGGTAATGGAAGGACTAAATCAAAATTCCTGGTAGTAACTTCTATCAAAGTGCTTGATTGTGAATTTTGCAGTGTAGATCATCTCAGGCAGCTCAGCCATTATTCAGTCCATCATCCTGTCTGCTTACCTAGTCCATGCTTCACCAGTTTGTTTGTGAGAACATTAAGGGAGACAATGTCAAAAGCCTCCCTGAGGTTGAGGTAAGCAACATCCACTGCTTTCCTCTCATCCACCAAGCCAGTCTTCTCATTACAGAAAGCTGTCAGATTGATTTAACCCTGACATTCCCTTCATTATCCACGCTGTCATCTCCAAATTACATTATTGTCCTTCTCATGCCTGGCATTGTTTTTCCAGCATTGTTTGCTGTGCCATCTGCACTGGTTGATGTTGAGGCTGACTGGCCTGTGTTTCCTGCTCTTGGCCTTAAAGAAGGTAACGACAGTTGTTCCCTCCACCCATCCTGAGGAGCCTCTTCTTTGGGGGTTGAACGTGATGATCTCTTGAGGTCCTTCCAACCCCTACAATTCTGTGATTCTGGTTGCCACAGCCTTACAATGTTAACTGAGAGTGGCCTCAAAAGGACATGCGTGAGCTCTCCTAGCACTTCTGGGTGCTTCATGGACTGGGTGCTCCATCAGGTTCTATGGATCCAGATGTGTCCAGTTTGTGTAAAGTTTCCTGACGTGATCCTCCTCCATCAGAGGTAAATCTTCCTTGCCCTGGACTTACCTGCTAATGTCAGTCATGGGATAGCTGAAGGCTGGTCTTCAGCAGGGACCAAGGCTGAGACAGATTTAAGGGTCACACTCTCACTGTTTAACACAGGCATTCATGGAGTATCAACAGCCATTTATAGAAAATCAAAGCTGTTGATATTGAACTAAAATGCAAATCATTTGTGCAAGGCAAGAGTCATTTCCTGGGGCTTGACCAGCTATGCCGGTTTTCCAGGCAGGTTTTCTGCAGTAGGAAGAACAATCTCTGTGGCAATGCTGGTAGTTGTCTCTTCAAGTTACCTTTCAAGATTTAATCAAAGAAGGATGTATTTTCAGCTGAGTAAGCTTTATTCAACATATGTCTATAGCCATTGTTTCTCAAACAAGGGAAGTGCTAATTACCAGAAAATCCAGATTTCATTAAGGGTTTATAGTTTATCAGTTTGTCAGCATTTTCTTCATTTTTTGAAAAGGTAGGAGTGCAAAATTAATATTTTATGTCATTTCAATTTTTTTTTTTTAAACTGAGTGGTAAAGCAAATGTATCTCGAAGAGTTTTTTTTTTTTTTGTGATGTTAGACATTCTGAGATATCTTCTTTTAAAGGCCTCAACATCACATTATAGCAGTATGCAATTCTGGAAAACAATAAAACATTAAAGTCTGAAAGTATTAAATAGGTTAAAATGAAGGTAGACTAGCAAGAAACAAACAAACAAACAAAAAAGCTTAATTATGTTGCTTCAAAATCTACATATTTTCGTGGGTCATGGAACAACTAACTATACCTTCTTACAGAAGACAGCAGTCAAAAACGATGGGGTCTTTCTATTGAAACCAGGCCAGGGTTATGACAGCACACATAACTGCTCTTGGTGGAGTTTTGAAGATATGTACTGGTACATGTGTTGTGTTTCTGATGTCAGCAGGGCACTTGTGACCTTCAATCCATTTTCAGTTTCCTTGGTAGAATTCTTTCTTTGCTTTTCAGGCTCTGGTGAAGCTTGTTTGTGAGCGCAGGTATGTATTTCCTTCAGGAAAACAGTGGCTGTACTGTGTATGAGTAGTGCATTTTTGTGAGCCTTGTGGCCTTCTGCAACAGTGCATATGCCTTTTTGTTACATGGTCTGATGGAATAATTTGCAGACCTGCATTTTGTGCCTCTGACAATAGCTGACACTCACTTGACCTATAGCAGACGTGCTGTATGAGTAATCTTACTTCAAGAGTGTTGGTCTAAATATTTGAAATAGTGTTTCCCTAAATTATAGTTTGACATGTGAGGCAACTTCAGTTCAAGAGCTAGTTGTGGTTGGAATAAAAGGGCTAAAGGTTTGCAAGTTGTCATCGTTCTGCTAGATATCCCAAGCATCACAGCAAATGTCGCAGTGCCCCTTAAACAGCTTTCTCCTCTGTCTTGCTTCTCCATCGGTTTGGTTCTATCATGAAGAAATTACTGCTTTTTATTGCATATATAGAAAGAAGTGACCTGGGGCTGTGAATCCTGGATTTCCCTGTGGAGTCACCACATGTAGGTTTCTCAAATCCGTTTCACAGCTGCACACACTCAATGCAAAGAACAGGCAAGAATTAAAACGAAGTGATAGGAGACATCACTGGAAGGGCACCTGCTTATACTCTTGCAGACCTGGCTTGGTTAACATAACCTTGCTTTACCTACTTAGTATCAAATTCCATCTGTCCTGATTTTAGGAGAATTAGAGAATATTAGAAGAGCAATAGGAGATTATTTTTTCTCCCCTATATCTAGTGCATGTAAATACATGTAGATGGCTCTTGAGGTGTTTTTTACTGTTGCTGGACTGGTCCATTTCTTCGGATAGAATAGCAGTAGTAAGTAGCAGTAGTACTTACTGCTGAAGCTGTCTTGTTCCTCTGCACAACTGTTCCATTACTCTAGGTATGGTAAAGGGTCAGAGAAAGGAGATTTGTGAAAATGATCGTTACTCCCTGTGAGATCGTTATTTGTGATCCCTCAAGAGACAATTTTAATTAGCTTGTTTCTCTCAAAGTTATACTGCTGCGTGAGTCATACATACCATCTGCTGACTGTAAGATAAAATCTCAAGATAATGGGAGCAAGCAAGAACCGATTGGTTTTTCCTGTGGTTCTTCCATGTCCTGATTTTCACCAGAAGATGGCAGCAGGCTGATGTTAGTCACAAACTTTCCTGATGCTTATTGTTTGATAAATTTTGCAACATGTTCTAAATATTTGGAACTGAATAGTTTGCCATAGCTGACAGCGTGAAAATGGACATTGCAAAGCACTGCATATCAAGCAATTTTGTGGCTTTGTAGGTCTGTCTGTCTGCTGGCTTGCAGTACTCTTCAAGTCATCGGCTAAACATCAATGACAGACTTTCACTTGTCAGCCTCTCAATAGCATTTAGTTTGGGAGAAAAATCAAAGTAGGAGGAGCTGATGCTTAAATTAGTTTGTATTTATTGCATATTGCCTTTCAGTTCAGGAAAATGTTTCATTCTGTTAGAATTAATTTGCTTGGCAATAAACTTCAGTTAGGTTTGGATGTACATTTTCTGTGAGAAAGGCAGCAAAGTTGGAAAAAGAACTGGAACTGATATTGTATGATAGAGAAGTAATTCCTGTTTGCATGGAGAAGCCTATGTAAATATTGATTAAAACTGTGGAGTTCAGCAGCTCTGACAGATGTTTTGTGGAATCTTTAGTGGAAAATAAGCTATGTTAGCCAGAGAAACATTTTTTTTTTTTTTTTTTTTTCATTCTGTAGCCACAAATTAATCTTTATTGTAGTAAATATTTATAAAATCATAAAATAGTTTGGGTTGGAAGAAACCTTTAAGACCGTCTTGCCTAAGCTCCCTGCCATGGGCAGGGACACCTCCCACCAGACCAGGTTGCTCAAAGCCCCATC